AAACACAGTCAATAGCGATGCTACGATTGAAAGAGTTCGTAGTCCTTTCCGTAATACATACGAAAGCCCTCCTGATATCCTACTTGTTTTTGAAAGGTAAAGGTACGGAGCTTCGTCGGGATTAGTCAAAGCAGTAAGATATTTTTTTATGATAAAAAAAAGCTTTGAATTCAGGTGAAATTACTAAATAAGAAAGTTTTGATTGGTTCTTACGGAAATATGATTGCTGGGAGCTATCTTAAATGTCTTCTAAGCATGAGACGAATAAAGTAGTCTGTGGAAGAGATGAAAGAGAGAACAAATGATTTAAAAAATTGAAATTAGATATACGTAGGAAACTGTTTTCAGCTGAATGTGTTTAGTTCGACCAGATATGAAAGATTTGTTATTTTTCAATTCTACACTTTTCTTTGCTAGGCAGAACTGTACACCAGTCAATGAGATTTTCTCACCTTTCTTGCATGGAAACTCTTATCAAGACATAAGCATTGCATATACCTTTATACCAGAAAAAAGTGTTTGTTCGCATTTTTCTTACCCGGAAAAATTCTCTCATCGCTAAAGCGGAAGCTATTAGCTAAGTTTGGAAAAAATCTCAAGAGTTTTCGACGAGGCAAAGAAAAAGCAGAAGATAAGATGAAGAGTAAGAGATGTAATTTCAAAAGCCTGTTTAACCTAAACAAATTTTACCATAGAAGCAGTAAACTCGCTGACTGGACATGGTAACACGAGGAGAAACGACGAAAGGTTGCGCCATTTCACCGGAAGCGATGTCACCGCATACGCTGCTGCTTTATGGCATCGACGACGACAAAATGCTCAGCGCGACCGCTGCCGGCTGCCATTTCGGAGCTCGGCAGGGGGCGCGTAGGGCAAAAAGTAATCGGATAAAACAAGTAATTGGAGTGGCAGGCATCGAAGCGCAGCACGCTATGTGAACGGCGCTTTTCGAATGACTTGAAAATTGAGATTGGAGAGGAACATTTAAAAAAACGAAAACCAGCCGACAACAATTCTAACGTCGATTTCAGCAAAACGCTAGCGCATACTCTTTTTCTTCTCATCTGATTAAATAAATAAATAATAAAAA